GACACTTAAAGGAGAGAAACAAACTACGAGGAAGTAGAACACCGATGGGTTTCCATCAGAAATCACACTAAACTAATGATGAAGTAGACAAACTGGCGCGTTGGATAGGAGCCTCAAGAGCTGTCTGTTGCTGTCGTTCTTGTACTAAGTGATCTTGTTCTCCACCAAGATTGATGACAGATGGACGCAAAGTTATACTGTGTTCTTGCTTTTTTCCCAAATTCTATATTATTGGATTTTTTCCTCATGTGCATTGTGTCTTTCACCCATGGGTTTTTTGTAACTGTGTGGTGGTTCTTAAGGAGTATGAATGCACTTGAGAAAAATCCAGATAATATAGGAATTTGGAAAGGCAGAACACATTCTTTTCGCCTGTAATCTTTGGTGGGAAAAAGACCATAGTGTACAAAGAAGCAAACAAGCTCTTGAGCCCAGACCAGTTTGTCTACTTCATCATTATTTGGGGATTTGATTTGGAACCCATCTTCTACTTTCCTCGTAGTTGTTTCTCTCCTTTAAGTGTCACTGAAGCATTGTGCTTTTATGAAAACTATGAATTTCTATTTAACCTTTTTTATTTTTTATTTTTGCCTTGTCTTGTGCAGATCAGCTCAAATTAATGGACATATCCGATGTCATATGCCACGATCTGGCACCTCCAAGGCTCCATCTATAATAAGACTTGCCTCTGGTCAAGAAAAATTTAGAAAAAAACAACCACAACCTAACTGCTCTTTCCCACGTACCAACACTGAATTGAATTTGCATCAATGACAAGAGAAATCATATATTATACTATTACTTCTTTTTTTTTTTTTTTTGGATCAGGAACAAAAGGTAATTTTATTAAGAAGGGGAAAAAAGAGTACAAAGGAGGACAAGAAGTCCTCAAAGACGCAAAAAACTGAAAACTAAAAAGGCTGCGATTTGGACACTGCTTTCCAATCACTAGAAATAAAAAAAATAAAAAAAGCGGAATTCCCTTAAATGGGGGAGCACCTGAAGCCCAAACAGATGCAAGAAATCTAATTTTTTTCCCACATTGACAAGACATCCGAACTTTTATCCTCAAAGATCCTTGCATTCCATTCCAACCATATGACCCAAAAAGAACGAACATTGCACAAAGCCCCAACACCTTCGCTTTCTTGTTAAGGCCTAAGAAGTGGAAATCAATGGATGGCTACCGTATTTTTCTTTTGTAGTTTTAGGGCATCAGCGTAGTTGTCAAATCGTGAACCAAAATGATCTTGTACCGAATCACAAATCGAATTGAATCGTCAATCGTAAAGATTCTGTCACTTTTTCTAAGTTACTTAGAAAAATATATCTACACATTTGAATGTTAAATATATCTTATAAATATAAAATATTTAGAATAAAAACAATGAAAATAATGTTTTGAATGATAATTATGTAGTCTAATAGGTAAGGAGTCAATATAGGTTCCCATGTAAGATCACCCTCATACCTTTTCCTTTTTTAAGATATTGCTTATCAATCATTCTTAATAAATATAGTAAATAGAGACAAACTCTCAATTTCTAAGTAATAATTACTTAACACCAATGTTGATATTTCATTAGCATACATCCTTATTTTCTACTTGAATATTACCTCACCTATGTAATATTGAAGTATATTTAAGTATATTTATTTAAATAAAATAGCAATAGACAATTTATATTGTAAGTTACTTTAACCTTAAACATCTTTGGAAGATACACTATAATTTCTTTTAATAAAAAAAAAAAAATGAGAAGGGTTAAAAACATATTAGGTCTAACTCAATCTGATTTGATCCTATTAAAAACTCCCTGAAGTCCAAAATAACAACAAATTATGTATATATGTTGGTTATTTTTGTACTGAACACTATTAGAAGTTGTATTATGTCATTTTAACTAAAAAATAGAGAAAAAAAGGAATCAAAATATGTCAGTCATAATAGTTTCAAGAATTGCTTGAATCGTAAAAAGTGAATCAAATCGTGAATCGATAATGGCTCGTGCAATTCACCAAAGATTCACTTCAAAATAGATTTACCTATAAATTCGTATCGATTTTGCAAAAATCGTGAATCGAATCACGAATCGTAAGATTCTGATAACACAGGGCATCAACATTATTCATGACTAAGTGATTACAACTTAGCATGATAATAGTTCCACACCAGCTAATAAATCAAATCTAGGCTAAGAAGCACTAACACTTCTAAAAAGATGGCGTATCTGTGTCAAATACCGACACTCGTCAAACACTTCTAAGATATTTCGGACATGCAACACTCATCTAAACATGTTTTATTATTTTTTTAAAAATTTATGCATCTGGACATGTTTCAAACACTTGGGCCACACACGTGTTACACACTACTTTAGAAATTAGTGTTATGCAGTATTTTTTATTATTATTATCATTAACACATAATAAATACATAAAAATATATGTTTTGCTCATGTTTCCCATGTATCATGTCATGTCCTACAATTTTTTAAATTTTTTGTGTTGGCGTATCCATGTCGTATCTATGCCCGTGACAATGCTTCTTAGAATCTAGATCATTCCACCTTTTCACTTGGGTTGACTACGAGTCTGCAATTCTCAAAGAAACAAGAACTTTATTTTCAATGCCTAGTAAAGGGATAAGCCAGAAATCCACAGAATGTTCCAACTCCATGGCTCAACTCTATGGTCTGATGGAGAGGATTATACAGTACTTTTCATAGGAAGCCAAGTTTAACGAGCTTAAAATCAAAAAGAAGCAGAACATGTGCTAACTTTTTTCAGTGGACAACATCATCAATACCATCCATTCTCAAGCCTGATTATTCTACTCTGATAACAAAGAACATTACAAAAAGAGAGAACAAGGATTAAACACATTCCCAACTAGAATAAAACCAATAGAAAAAGGGAAGAAACAAAAAGAAAAAGGAATGTACTACATCACCATTAGGCAAAACCACACAGATAAGTAATGCAATTCTAAATGGATAAGGGTAAAAGCCACTTAGCTCAAACTTGGATTGTTATTACTGGTCCATTTTATAAAGGACCCAAGAAATAAAAACTAGGAACCACCACATACAAAATAATCATGGCGCAGATGCAAAGGCAAAAGCTGGATATCGATTTGTCCTTGTGCAGAATATGTCCCAACACAAATATCATATCAGAGCTAGTCTCCCTGCCTATGAACTAACGTGCATCTTTGCCTGCAATTTATGAAGTAGCCATTTCGCCAAATAAAGCTAAACTCCCTCCTCAGGCAATAAAAAAGAAGAAAGAAAAAATGTAAGGAAAGATGACGCTACAGCCTCATGGTACATAAGCACTCTGCTCATGCCACTCTCCTGTATTCCACTAAGAAGGCATTCTTTACCAACCGAATAAGCAATAACTTATTTAATACTGCAATCTCAACATTGAGATGACCCCTCAAACATGACAAGTGAATGTTAAGAAACATTTTTTATGCAGGGACAAATACTTCTAGTCAACATGATTTGTAAAATTAGTAGGGCGCTGTTTGGGAAGCACAAAATGAGGCTATTATAGCCTATTTTGACAAATTAGCCCAAAAGCAACACTGTTGGAACCTTTTTCAAAAAAAAAAAAAAAAAAGAAAAAAAAAAAATTATTCTGCATAGCCGGCAGTGTAGGCACAGCCTACACTGTCAGCTACAACACTTGTTCCATCAATAAATAAATTACCATTTTACCCCTTGATATCAATTTAAAAAAATATATTTTTAGGGATAAATTTGTCATTTTAAATTTAAACATCATTTCAACACACTTTCCAATACAACAACTCAACTAAAAATTCATCCCATCTTCCCAAACACAAAACTAAAATAGCCTACTAAAATAGCCAAAAAGTCAAATAGCCTACTAAAATAGCCACTTCCCAAACGAGGCCTAGCTGATATTTAAAAGTCAAGCTTACCAAAAGAAGCCTCCACACAGTCGGACGCAGATACGACGGGACACCGCTCCAAGCTAACTCACGCATTTTGTCTGCAAGAAAAGACATCATTGAAAAGCCAATTTTAGTTAATGATTCCAGCTCATAAAAACAAATACGTATATATCAAATTGCAGGAACTTTATCCAACGCCTCACCTGAGAGGTACATGGCTATTTTTAAAAGACAGGGATTAAAGTGCTCTGGAGCTTAACCACAAGAGGGTAAAATGGATTTTGATCTAAAGTCTTTCTAAAAATCATATGAAGTTCCTTCCATGCTCTTTGTATTTTTCTATTAATCTTCTTAGTAAATATATCAGTTTTATAATCGATGTACCAAGCATAAATCCACATTGGTTTTCTTACACTTGTTGTAACTCTTATGTAGTGCTCCATCACTGTATCACTTATCAACTTAATGGCTTTGTAATTGTTGCAATTTTGGATATCTCTTTCTTTTCTTTCTTATCAGTTCCTTTATATATATATATATATATATACACACATATGTACTAAAATACTTTTTATCCACTCATCATGCAGTTTTGTAGTCAATAGAATCTGGTTAAATAATTTTGTTAACCAAGAACCTCCTCCTCACCTAAGCATTTCTAAGCCTCAATATGCCTGCCATGGACTGATACATTCAACAGAATGACATCTTTATTCTAAATTATCATACTTCCCCATAAGATAAGAAACCAAAATGCAAAGAGAAAAAGTACAAAGAAAATATTAGTATATACCTAAGATGACAGTTGGACCAGACAATGCTTTTGTGAACTTCGTAAGCCTTGCAGAATCGGTAGCTCTAGCACCCATTGTAGACTTCTGAGACTCTTTGGAAGTACTCTCAGTGTTTATGGTTAATGATCTTGACTTGGTTGAACTAGAATTTGTTTTACTATTACTTTGGATTTCATCCTACATTGACAAACAAATAAATGTCTTAGCAATGATTGAATTAGTAATGTTTAACTATTAATTTTGGTATAACTATAGATGGGAAAAAGTATAGGGCTGTTATCAATATTACCTCAACAGAGTCGTCTAGCTGTTCACTTGTTCCAGCATCTTTGTCTGAGAAACTCCTGTCAATATCTGGAGAGTATAAACCCGAGTCACTTATTGGGTCTGACCTACGTGTTATCAATACCTTCCCAGGAAAACTGCGACCTTTAAGCAGCCTAAATAGTGATGAAAGAACGAATCAGATATGAAGAAAAATGTGAATATAGACCAGTTAATATAAATTATTCGCGTGGTGAGTATCAGATGTTATGCTTCCATACCATCATAAACTGATAAAATTCCAAACTTTGAGAACTAATGAAAAGTTGAACAACAATGCAACAAAAGAAACAAGGAGTCAAATTGTTAAAAGTTGAGAAAATTTAGTACAATCGTTCCCTTCAATATAAACCGATGAAGATGCAAAACATCAAAATATATGAAATTTGTGTTTCAATGCAACAAAAGCAACAAGCAGTCAAATTATTTGGCAATCTACTACAGTAAATCTATTCAACACAAGAGCATCATGCATAAAACCACTTCATCAAATTCTTGAAAGTGAAAGTGATAATACTTACCACCAATATTAAAGGATGGGAACAACATGCACACACCTTTCGTTTGACACGCATGCAAACTTATTTTTTGGTATCATGCAATATGTGCGATGCAAATGATATTCAGAGAAATAAGAGAATACACCAACAGCATCATCTCATCCAAATTGTATAGATTAGATCCTTGAAATGGGCTTATTGATTAGGTCAAAACCTCAAATTCAACGGGATCACAATTCGATAACAAGTCCACCCATAAACCAACTAAACGAGATCGATTAATAATCCCCTTAGCAAGAGATCAATTTTATAATGCAGACCACTTAAGTCTACCAACATTCACCTGAAGAAAAATACTCAGTCAAGATTTCTGTTAAATCAACTAAATAAATCATCCTATTCAATCATCCAAATCAGGTAAAAAGCAACACACCCACTTGGGTTCCCATTATGCAAAAGAAACAGCTTGATAAGCATAAAAACCCAACACACTAACCTAAAAAGTTACAAATCTAAATACCAAAACACCCAAATCGCCCCTTCCAGTACCCAAATCTAGTGCAAGGAGTGATAGAATTCTTGGTTTTATGATCAGAAATCATCAATTTTGAACACACAAATAATAAAAAGTACAATTTGACATTGATTACAATCAAAAAACAACAAATTCAACGAGACCCAGGTAGATTATCTCACTATTTTCCTATAATTTTCCAAGATCGGAAATTTTCTCCCAAATGTATTCAAATACGGTGAAAATTGGAAGCATTAATTAAGAAATGAGAGTTAATAGCAATTGAAATTTCTGGGTTCTGGGTTTGTCGTTGGGATCTAAGCGAATTGGTAAAGAATTGGGAAATAACAAAAGATACCCTTGAACATTTCGAAGAGTTTGGTTGAATCTGGAATCGACGCCTGTGAGAGTAGAATTAGACTCCTTTCGATCGTCTTCTCTGTGGCTGCTATTGCTATTGCTATTGCTGTTGTTGGTGCTATTGCTCATCATGGTTTCTGGGCAACAACGACCATAGTTCCCGTGTGGTCTGTCCCGTGGCCCTTATTCCAACCCAAGCAAAGACAAGTCTGTGGCACCTGTAGTAAAAATCTTTACGCCCCAATTAATGTATTAACGAATAATATGAAACTTTATAATTTATATAATGCGTAAAATTTATAATTTTAAAATTATAATATTATAAAATATATTAATACATTAATTAGTTTAATAATTAGTGTGTATAATGCCGTTACAATCCCTCGAGATATGTATATCACATTTTTTTCCCATTATTCCATTCCCCACTCGTCTTTAAAAGGGTATCGGACTCTTAAATCCCCCACCTAAGCATCTGCCCATAAATTAAGGAAAATGTTTGAGGGCCACAATTTTTGTGGCTCAAATGGCTCAAAATTGTCAAAACGACGTCGTTTTGACAATTTTGAGCCATTTGAGCCACAAAAATTGTGGCCCTCAAACATTTTCCTTAATTTATGGGCAGATGCTTAGGTGGGGGATTTAAGAGTCCGATACCCTTTTAAAGACGAGTGGGGAATGGAATAATGGGAAAAAAATGTGATATACATATCTCGAGGGATTGTAACGGCATTATACACACTAATTATTAAACTAATTAATGTATTAATATATTTTATCATGAAATTGCAAATTACCCCTTTTACTTTTATTTTAATTTGAAGAGGCTTATTTTTAAAAAAATTCACATAATCCTCTGTGATTGGGGTAAAGTGCAAATTCCGACATTGAGAGATTTTATTTGTACACCACAATTCTTCTTATTTCAAACTAATTTTTAAAAATTTTAATTATTATTTTGTTTCTCGAACAAATTATCATTAAAGACAATAAACTAGTGATAATCCGTGCTATGCACGAGAGTTTATAAATCAAAAAAATATATATTATAATTACCTTAAAAAAAATTAATATTTTATCTTGCAGTATATATAAAATTTATAAGTTAACTTTTATGTTTATAACTTCTTAAATTATTAGTTTTAAAAAATTTTAAAATATATATAAATATATTTAGTGTAATTTTGATAATTTATATCTGATTAAATGAGACTAACTGAGTTATGACATAACTCTTCTTATTATGAAAATATACAAAATTAAAAGTTATAATTAAAACAAATATATAATTTTATTATTAAATATGAAGTGAAGTGATATTTAACAACAATTAATATGATATTTCTATTATTAATCCCATAATTTAATTTACATTTCTTTTAATTTCAATTTCATAACTAAAAATACAATACAAATATAATACACTCACGAATTTCTAGTGTTTATGAATAAGAAGGTTTCAAAATATTTTCAAACTTTTGTATAAATTTTTTTTTATCTAATTTGATTTTACATTTGAATAAAAATTTTGATTTGATATGAATTATTTTAACTTTTTCATTAAATTTTTATCAATTTTTAAAAGAACTTTCATTCTTATCCTAATTTTTTTTCTTTTCACCAATTTTGATGATAAAAATATTAATTTTCAGTGTTTCATTTTTAAAAATTTTTATCAAATTATAATTTGATAAAAAAAATATATTAAATGTTGAAGATTCTCTTAATTGGAGTTATAGTGAAATAATATCTTGAAATAGTCAAAGTTTGAGTATGTAGTTGGTTGAAATGTATAATTTAATTAATTCTTTTCTCATATTTGTATAAAAATTAACACTTATGACTACATCATTATAAGTTGGATTATGGAAAAAAATTTAGGGTGTCAAACATTTTCCATTTGTAAATTTCCAACATATTAAAAAATGAAAAAAAAATGTATAACTTTTTTATATGTGTTTATTGGTTTTGTTTTATGAACATAAACAATTGATGTTTCAATTTAAAAAAATTAAAAAGTAAAAAAAAAAATTGAGTTTTTTAGAGATAAAAAACTATCTAACTCTTCTATATACTATTAAGATGGACTATTTCAATTTAAAAAATTAAAAAGTAACACCAAAAAAAACAAAAAAAAAAAGATTGAGTTTTTTAGAGATAAAAAAAAACCATCTAACTCTTCTATATACTATTAAGATGGACTATTTTAGTCACATAAAAAATAGAAATTATATTTAGAGATTATCCCTATATATTATGCTATTATATATAACTATAGTAGTAACAAATTAACTATAATATATATGAAAAGTTATATTAAGTTTTCATTTTCAATTAATTGAATTATAATTAACAAACTAACAATAGCAATAATGGTCTAATGGGATAGAAAGAGAATAAAAATAAAGAATACAATAATATTTAAAAGTTTTAAATTTACCTAGTTATACAAAAATCTAATGTTATAGTAAAATATTGAATTCTCAATAAATTTTCATATTTTTTTATAAAATAAAATGATAAAAAACATAAAAAATTTGATACCCATTTTTTTTTATTTCAAGTTTTTGGTCTTCACTGAAGAAAACAAAATTCGATCAAAATCCTTGGTACAGAATGAATAGAGATACTTCGATTGCAACCATAATCACTAATAATTATTCTCTACCATGTAAACCTATAAACAAACACATAAATCTCACTAAAATCGAAACCAAAAGCAAACTAACAGTAAAGAAAGAAAATCACACAAGGAAAAAATAAAATAAATAAATTTATAGAGTTGGAGAATGTTACTTTCAACAACTTACACCTCACCTAACCCAATATGTTAGCTCATCTGTCAGTGCCCGCGAAATTCAGGAGTTGGGATGATTAATCAGATTATTCTTTAAATAAGATTTGAAAATTGATTAATTTGTCTCATTAAGTGATTCAAAATTTTGATGTATATACATCATAAAAATAGATAATTATATTACTAAATCATAATTCAAATTTAGATATTGTCATATTTTTTTAGATCCATATCTAAATTTTTATCTTTTTTATTTTTGTGTGGTTTCTATTTGGTTTTTTTTCTTCAATTTATGTAAGATGGAGTTGTGGGTATTTATTTATTTTTAATTTAATTTATTTGTGATTTCTATTTATTTTTAATTATTATTATTTAGATAAGTTATGATGTGAGTTAAATTTATGATAGACATGTGGGTTTTATTGATTTAAAGTATAATGGTGGGAGATATTTTCAAATTAGATTTGTTTAGATAAACTTTAAAGATTTTTAAAATTTAAAATTGGATATTAAGATGAAAAAAAAAAGATTTTAATTGAATAAATAAAAATCTAATTTGTTAATTTTATCTGTTTGTATATCTGATTTTTATTTTTATTTTTTTTTGTTATGTTATTATAGCGATCCCGGTTCTTTCTCCTTTGGTTGTAGTATTCGGACTTAGTTCCGTGGATTCCGGTTGTTGTTTTGAACTTGTTTCTGTCCTTTAATTCTTTAAATTTGAGTTATAGAATGTTTTGGACTTGTTCGTTCGAGGTTGGGTGTGTTTGGGAGCAGGTGGTTGCTGCCCAGGTTTTTAGTCCTTCGCTCGAGCGATATGTCTGTCGCTCGAGCGAGCGTGGAGTTTTGTGTCTGGTGGCTCGAGCCAGGGTTTCTTCGCTCGAGCGAGAGTTTCTTCGATCGAGCGAGCTGAGAGCAGTGTTCCTTCGCTCGAGCGAGAGTTTCTTCGATCGAGCGAGCTTCTGGGTTGCAGACCTGAAGCATCGAGTTTTTGGCTCGAGCGAGCTTTTCTTCGCTCGAGCGAGGCTTTCCTGTGTCTGGTCGCTCGAGCGACCAAGTCTTCGCTCGAGCGAGCCTGTCCAGTTTAAATAGGCAGCAGCGGGTTTTGATCAGTCTTTTCATCCTCTTCTAGTTTCCAAACCCTAGGTCCGACTTCTCTCTCTCTAAACTCATCTTCTTTCTAGGTTTTCATCTACTTCTAGTGTGAATCCATCTTAAGTTCTTTGTAAGAAAGATAGAGGGCGGCTTAGGCTGCATTCTAATCTGAAAAATAGTGGATTTGGAGCACTTGGACTTTGGGTCATCTTCTCCATTTTTGTTCTTCGTTCGAGGTATAGTGGTTTCTTGAATGAACTTCCAAGAGTCGAAAGGAACGGGACCCAGCTCTAGGGAAACTTGGTGGTGGAGGGAAGAGGTCCAAGCGGTAGTTAAGGCAAAAAAAGAGTGCTTTAAAAAGTAGCAGAAGGATAGAACTGAGGAAAACCTTAAGAGCTATCAATTGGCTAATAATGAGGTCAAGAAAGTAGTGAGAGAGACTAAGTTGACAGTTTATGATGACCTATACACTAGACTAGATAGTAAGGAGAGAGAGAAGAGGGTATACAAACTTGCTAAGATACGGGAGAGGAAAACAAGAGATTTTAATCAAGTAAAGTGCATCAAGAGTGAGGATTCTAAGGTATTGGTAAAAGATGATGAGATTAAGGAAAGATGGAATAATTATTTTTGAGAAATTGTTAAATGAGGAACATGGAAGTACGACAATAGGGGAAAAAATAATCAGTAATACGATAAACCTAGACTATAGGTTCTATCGCAGGATTAGGAACTTTGAAGTAGAGATTGCACTTAAGAAGATGAAATCAAATAAGGCTTTAAAACCTGATGATATCCCTATTGAAGCTTGGAAGTGTTTGGGTAAAAAGGGAGTTGCTTGGTTAACTAGGTTGTTTAGCAAAATTTTGCTGACTAGGAACATGCCAGATGAGTGGAGGAAGAGTATTTTAGTGCCAATCTATAAGAATAAAGGTGATGTCCAGAATTGTAACAACTATAGAGGAATTAAGCTAATGTGTCATATAATGAAAATGTGGGAGAGGGTGATGGAACGCCGATTGCAAGACATAACAGAGGTGTCAGAGAATCAATTTGGGTTTATGCCTGGTAGGTCAACAATGGAAGCGATTTATCTTTTGAGGAGAGTTATAGAAAAGTATAAAGAAAAGAAAAGGGGCATTCATATGGTGTTTATCGACCTTGAGAAAGCATATGACAGAGTGTCCCGAGATATAATATGGTGGGCGTTAAAGAAGAAAGGGGTGACGAAAGGCTACATTGACGTGATTAGGGACATGTATGAAGGGGTGGTGACCACTATTAGATCGCCAGCTGGACAAACAAATGAATTTCCTATCACTGTAGGGTTACACCAAGGATCTACCTTAA